TAGAGTGGCTGCCGATGATCCCCGAGAGCTGGTGCCAGCGGAGTTGGATAGGCTTGCTAGAGTAGAGATGATGCTTACCCATGTCATGGAAGAGAATAGGTCCCTTAAGAGGCAGCTCCATGCTGAATCGAACTCCAGTTGGCACAGCACTCGGACCCCTGCTGAGTTTCCTCAGTCTCCTGCGTCGTTCGGTGTAGGAAACCAGTTTTCGGAAGCGGTGCCGCCACAGGTTTCACCGTGCGCTGGTGTAGATCCGAGAGTTTCGCATGATTTCCCAAGCTCCTTCGCGGATTTTTCGATGGGCAACGTAGGCTTTGCCAGTACTTCGGGGCAACTTATGGCCTTTCCGAGAGCTAGGGCTCCTCCTGTACCTGGACCTGTAGAGACTCCGCAAGGAGGGATGATCTTTCAGAGCGGTACTGGTTTTGTTGGGGAGATGGGTCTGGTTAGGTCGTCAGGGTTAAGGCCTTCTTCCACGGGTGTAGGTCCAGTGGTTCCTGAGGTTCAGGGTGAACAGACTCAGACGTTGAGGCAGTTTGCTAGTGCGGCGTTGCAGACTAGTCAGGGGGATGGTTACGGGAATGGTGCGGGGTTTCATACTCCGAGGTCTGTTCAGGGTGGTTCAGGGAGGTTTGATTCGGAGGGGTATCCTTTGTCTCCTGGGGGGACAAGTATAAGGCCTCCTGCGATTCCGCCGCCAGTCTCACCCAGAGTTGGTGTTCCTGCGAGTGCGCCTGTGGGCTCCGCTGAGGCTTATGTAGTCCCGACAGCGCAGGCCCCACCACCTCAGCCGGGGTTGTATGACCCACGATTAACCGGAACCTCAGCGGGGTATTCCGGAGTTCCCGGTCCTTCCAGGGGGGCGGTGCCGGGGGGTTCAGGTTCAGGGTTTGAGCGACCAGAGGAACCTGCAAAGTACATTAGTGAATTGCCTAAGCTCGTGCAGGCTGAGTTGTCGCAGTCGGCCGTAGTATGTGGTAACTGGCTAGCACAAGTGCGTCAGGTGTTAGTTGGGCTATCTCCGAGTGCGGATGTATGGTGGAAGGGGGTCGAGACTCCAGCCACCGCAGCTTATAGGCGTTGGTTAGTTGCGGATCCGTTGGGGAGGTTGAGCATCGATCCTTCGTCGGTGGTAGGAGACTTCGACGTGCATTTGTACGGTCGTGTGGAAAGTAGGGCCACTAGTCTCTTGTTGGCGGCGGTTCCGCAATCGGTGAGGGATGATGTGGTGACCAATAGGTGGCTTAGTTCAGCGGCTATTTTGTTCAGGGTGCTATGCCTATTCCAACCGGGAGGTAGTAGCGAAAGGTCGCATTTGTTGTCGCAGTTGGTTAATCCTGACCCCTGTCGTACTTTCGCAGAAGCCATCAAAGGGCTCCGTCGGTGGCAACAGGGTTTGCAACGAGCTGGGGAAATCCACGCGACATTACCGGACGCTTCTTTGCTTCTTCGGGGGATTGATTCGGCGGTGTCTGCTTTGTTGTCGGCTCACCCAATGATTGGGTTCCGGGTAAACGCGTTCAGGCATCAACTCGCAATCGATTATAACCCTACAGTAACGAACGTTGTCCAGCTAGTCAGACTACTGCAGGCGGAATGTGAAGCGGCGTCTATTACTACGGAGGCTTCGGACAAAAGAGCGAAGACTGCATCCATAGCGAGCCCTAAGGATCCCCCTAGTTCTAAGGCCACTCCTCCAGCTCCACCCGGTCCTGAGGCTAGTGTTGCGGCTGTCAATGCCGGGAAAGGGGATGCTAAAGGGTCTGGTAAGAGTAAGGGTAAGCCGGGAGAGTCGGGGCAGCTTTGTCATAAGTTTGCGGATTCCTCTGGTTGCCGGTTTGGGGATGCGTGCATGTTCAAGCACGATAGGGCAAAGGCACGAAAGGAAGGACGCTGTTTAGCGTGCGGGCAGAGCGGCCATTACCGGCCTGAATGCCCCATTGTTCCGCCTGAGAACCGGCCCTTGGCTCCGGATTCAGGCTCTTCTGAGGCTTCACCTAAGTCCGGTTCTCCTGCTGGGAAGGGCGGTAGGCCTAAAGCAAAGGCAAAGGCTGGGGCTCAGGCGAAGGGCGTTACAGAAGAGTCGAGTGGGAATCCGGGTCCTAGTGGCGCTGAGGCTGCTGCGAGTGCTTCCGTGCAGAGTGCGAAGGGTCAGGAGACATTGATTGCTGAAGCGGCGAAGCTGCTCAAGAATGTTACCCTGAAGCCGTTGAGACTAGAGTCGGGGTTCCGCGTAGGCGACTTCAGCATTGATAGCTCCTGGCTTTTGAGTGCGATTACTAGCCCGTCCGATTTAGGGTTTGCGCTCATTGACAGTGGTGCAACAAATGCACTTCGGCCGGCGGAGGCTGGAGAATTGGAGCAAGGAAGAACGATTAAAGTGGACCTTGCTAGTGGTGTCGCGGATTTGAGGGTGAATAGTTGTGGGACCTTGCTCCACTCTGGGCCTTGCCAGGTCATCATCCCAGCGGGGTATTTCATTGAGTTAGGATACACCATAGCTTGGAAGCGTAGGGGTTGTAGGGTGAAGCATCCTAGAAGAGGGACTTTGGAAGTCTCGATTGTGAAGGGGTGCCCGTTGATCCCTAGGGAGGTTGGATTAGAGATTCTAGCCGAGTACGAGGCCAAGGTAGGAGAAGGTTCCTGTGTGAAACGATTTCAGCCTCTTGAGCCGGTGTGTGTATTGGATGCTAAGGGGGCTCGAGATTGGATTCAGGCTAGACTAAAGGAGGTTGGAGGTTCTGGTTTGGGAGAGCTAGATCAGTTGACCTTTCTATCGGGTATGTTTCCAAGAGTCTCAAGGGAAATCCTATCGAGGGCTTGTGTGCCGGCTTTGACAGGGGCATTCGGGGATTATCGGGAGTTGCCTTGGAATCGTCGTAAACGGCGTACTGTGCAGCGTGCCAAGCCTAAATCTGTGTTACTTCACGTAGACAAGGATAAGGTAGGCTGGAAGGGGGTAGGCTGTGTGGTGTCGGTTGATGGTTCCGAAAAGGGGCTAGCTTCCCCAGTGGTGTTTCAGCAGCTTCTGCGTTGGGCCGAGATAGGGGTGTTTGGTGGCATAATCTTGGGATCATGGTTCAGTGAGATTGGGGATTCTGAAGACGAAATGGTCTTAAAGCTGAGGGCCATCCTATTGCACTCGGTGGCGCAGGCGTTTGGGGATTCTGGGGCGCTAGAGTTTGATGAAGCTAATAGAGATGAGGTTAGCCCAGAGGCATTTGAGGATCCACATCAACTAGCGCTCTGGGCTCTCCAAAGGTCTGCGGCCCGCCTTTCGGCGTCAACAGATCGGGTCTCCAAGCGAGAGCCTGTCTTCTTTGTATGTGAGAGATCTGGGAACGCCGCTGAGAAAAATGGATGGGACTCTGAAACTTGGAAGGGCTTTCAACAAGCCTATGGGTTCGAAGAGGTGTTGTTTGATCAGGCCTGCTTAGGGGGGTCTGAGGTTGGCTCCACCACGTTGCTAACTTCGTCGTGGTTCCTGTATGAGACGTTGCATGCCAACAGAACGAGCGATGAGATTCGATTGTTCCTGAAAGGGTTAAGTGATCTACGGAAGCTGTGGGGCCACGAGAGCCCAGGAGGCTGGACCTTAGGTTTGCGTAGAGCGATTCGAGGGGCATGGCTTCGTTGGAAAGAGGAATTGGGCAAATCCGAAGAGGTTACGCAGCGTAGAGCTTTACTTGCGAAGCTCACCGAAGAAGAAGCTTACGCGAAGCACGTGGAGCAAGATCATGTTCCATATCGCAAAGGGTGTCCGATCTGTATTAGCGCACAAGGGCGACAACGATCTCATTGGAGAAGCTCCTTCCCTGACCTTCATGCACTCAGTGTTGACATGGCAGGTCCGTTTGTTTCGGGCCAGGCTTTCAATGTAGAAGCTAGTGGGCGGGATCGGGGGGGAGGGTATCGGTACATGTTGGCTTTTGCGTATGCAATACCGAACCGGTTTAAGAGCGATGTGGCTACCGAATTGGAAGAGTATGAACCTTCTGAGTGTGGGCAGTTGACTCCTGAAATTGGGGACTTAACTAAAGATGCTTTTCCTCCAACAGCGCAGGGGGAGCCCGGGGAACTCTTCCCTGAGCTGTTTTCTCTCCCTTTGGATGGACTTGAAGGTGATGGGAGCTTGAGGGCGGTGACCCATCGGGTGCGGTCCAAGCGGCCGGAGGGAGGTGAAGAAGAGGGGGAGGCAGTGTCAGGCGGTGTCTCGCTTGAGTTCCCCAAGGTTAGTTCGCACCGTACCCTGTTTTTTGGGGTCCCCCTTAGGACTAAACGTGGTCGAGAGGTTTTACCACAGATTCAGGGTGTCATTAACCGTTTGGAGTCGGCTGGATTTCCGGTTCATCGTTATCATTCGGATCGTGCCCAGGAGCTGAGGTCGGCGGCGCTTGTAGGCTGGTTAAAGACTCACGGCATTCATCCTACCTGGACGGCAGGTGAATCGCCCGCGGGTAATAGAGCGGAGCTGGCAATCCAGAACTTGAAGGGTTTCGTACGCAAGCTTCTGGTGGTTTCGGGGCTTGAAAAGGTTTACTGGCCGCTCGCCCTCCAACATGCTTCTACGCGTAATTGGATAAATTTCAATGAGGCTTTAGGTATACCGCAACCTGCTCTTCTCCCGTTCGGCGTAAAAGTTCATGCTCGGAGGCGTACGCGCACCGGCTTTGATGCGCAATGGGAGCCTCGCACGGTGCAGGGGATTTATGTTGGCCATGCACCTAGTACACCAGGTGGTCACCTGGTCTTGCTTCCCGATGGTGATAAATATAAGGTGCTTCTGACCAACACTATCTATCCGCTGCGGGGTGGAGATGATAAGGTCGCTAAACCGCGGTATCGTATTCCAAATAAGCGCTCTCCGCCTTTTGTTGTGCGGGTAGTAGCGGCTCGAGAGTTGAGCTGTGATCCGTCGCTTTGGGCCCGGTGTGCACCGGGGGGGGAGCCCTCTTGCTTCGGTGTAAATTTTGAACTTCAGAAAGGGGTCAGTTATGAAAGCGGAGCGGATTCAGCTGATGAAGAACAAAGCGGGGAGAAGGATGTTCATCTGTTTCCAAGCTTGCCGCTTGGGTGCGGTTGGTTTCAAGAAAATGAGGAAGAGGATGCATCGGACTCCATTCTTGAGGAATCAGAGTTTGATCTGTTGGACTCGGGTAGGGAGAAACCTGGTGTAGCTAGAATAAGCCCACAGGATTCCGAGATTGGTGCTTGGATACGGGGGAGTTTGGAAACTCAGGACTTCTCTGACGAGACTTGTCTTCGGGTCTTAGAGCAGGGCTGGGACCGCTGGCCCAAAGGCAAGAGATCTCTGTTGAGTCGGGGTTCTGGACAGGCGGTGTTGCTTGGGCTTTATAGTGTAGGGGGCTTTCATGGGATATCGAGGGCTTCTGAAGAGAACTCTGATGTGGTGAGGTATCTAAATGCCTTTGTTCGCCACCATGGCCCTGATCACGCTTGGTGCGCCCTTTATGTGTCTAAGAACACTCGAATGCCGATGCATCGAGATCTATGTAATGCCAGTCGATCAGAGATCTTGGTCAAGGCAGTTGGGAATTTTATAGGGGGTGGTTTGTGGATTGAGAGTGAGTCCCAGATTGGACCTGTGTGTAAGGAAACCCCAGGAGGTTTGTTACGGGCAGGGTCTGTCCATGATATCAAGGAACGACCGGTGCGGTTTTCCGGTGTCCGCTGGCACGCGACCGAAAATTGGGATGGGGAAGACCGGTGGGTTATTTCTGCATTTACTCCTCGGGATGTTGCCAAAACTGCTGAGAAAGACTGGGCGTCCCTGAAGGATCTTGGTTTTCCCGTCGAAGCTGTTAAGGAAGGGATTCAGGAGACGGGTTCTGGATCAGGAAGGGAAATTCTTAAGAATCTTGATCCTGGTGATGGGGATGGTTCAGGTAAGGCAGAGGGTTCGGTTTGGGACATTGGCTTTCCTCAGCCCCTTCTCGAGGATGCTCATCGCGAGGCCTGGGTAGTCTGGCATGATCGTATTGCGCGGTTAAGTCGGATGCTTCTGGGAGATCTCTGTAACGCTACCGAGGGGAGTGATGAGGTCTCAGGCATTGCTGAAAATCTAAGGAAAACGGAATTGTTGGGGCAATGGTTAGAACAGGGCCTGGAGCAATGGGTTGAGCCAGGAGATATGTATGGGATTTTGAAGTCCTTGCATTCCGAGATTCCTCTGAACCCTGGGTCGGAGGCCCCAGATCAGTTCTTGCAAACTCGCACCATCAGTTTAGCAGAGGCTCGAAAGGAGTTAGGGTTGTGGAAAGATCCGGCGATTGATGAGGTTACCAGTCTCGAGACCACGAGTCAGGCAGTAGATAGGGTCAAGGTGAGTTTGGTAGAACAGTGGATTGAGCAGGGTTTCAAGGTGATCCAACTTCCTGGAAAGGCTGTCCTAACTAGGAAGAGTGGGACCGGCAAGCGCCGGTTCCGCGCGGTGTGTTGCGGGAACTACTTACCACCGGAGAAGCTGGGATTGTCCCGTGACGACATCTATGCGTCGGGTGCTGAAGCGGTAACCCTACGGGTCTCCTTGTCCTTTGTTTCCATGTTTCCGAACTGGACCGGGATCACAATTGATATCAAGACTGCCTTCTTGTATGCTCCCATAGGAACCCGATCAAAGGATCAAAAAGAAAGGATCATTGTCAAGCCCCCCTCGGTGTTGATTGAGCTTGGAGTTCTGAAGCCTGAGGACAGGTGGTATGTAAAGAAAGCCCTATACGGGCTGCCGACGTCTCCGAGGGACTGGGGGGACTACCGGGATGGTGAGCTACGGAAGTTCGTTGTCACTTGTGAGAGTAGGTCCTATGGGCTGATCCAATCCAAGTCCGATGAATCCCTTTGGTTCCTTAGGCTTATTGGGGAGAATGGTCTTGGGGATATTTGTGGGATCCTCGTTGTATACGTAGATGACCTAGCTTTCTTCTCGACTAAACTGCTTTGCCAGGCGTTCATTGATCAAGTTCAGGGTCGATGGAAAACTTCTGATCCCAGTTGGTTTGGGGAGGACCCTGTAACCTTTTGTGGGGCAGAGGTTACCCAGACTGAAAAGGGCTTCCGGCTTACTCAGGTTGCCTATCTTAAGGAACTTTTCCAGCGCTACGAGATTGAAGGTACTGCAGCAGTACCACTGACGAAATGGACGGAGCCGATTGAGGAGGGTGTGCCCGATGCAGACTTGGTACGTCAAGCCCAAGGGGTGACCGGAGCCCTGTTGTGGGTTTCGACAAGGTCTAGGCCAGACATAGCCTATGCCGTATCAAGGATGGGCCAACAGGCCACAAAGGTCCCATCGCTGACGATCTCGATTGGCAGACAAGTGTTGCAGTATCTTCGTTCGACGTTGACGTTTGGGATTGAATATTTGCACGATTCCGGCCCATACTTCTCCGCTCACGGTCAGTTGTCAATGCCTCGCCAAAGCACTGTGCTGGAAGTGTATTCGGATGCATCTCACTCGCCTTGTGGAGGGCGATCGATTCAATGCTGCCTGATTGTGTGGAGAGGTTCGCCATTAGCCTGGGAGAGTACCAGGCAGAGCTTCACGACTCTTTCCTCCGCCGAGGCGGAGCTGGTGGGAATGCTGCATGCGCTCCAGTTAGCTGAATGCCTCCAGCCTCTCCTGGATGAATTGCTATCGGCCGACAGCACTATTGCACTTCTTGCCGACAACGCCGCGGCCGTTCGAGCCTTCGAAACGGCCCCGAACGGCTGGCGTAGCCGCCACCTTCGAATGCGCGCCCAAGCTGCGCGCGAACGCATTGAATCCAACCAGCTGCAAGTCACTCACCTCTCAGGTGAGCTGCAGGTAGCAGACGTTGGCACCAAGCCGCTTCCAAGGTCTCGCATCCTGTCCTTACTTGAATTTGTGAATGTGAGAGGCTCGTCCCTGTCACCCGAATCGGTGAAGGCCGCCAGGGTTTTAAGCAGGATTTCGTGGGATGCTAGGGGGAGCGTAGTCACTCCTGAGGCCTTGGCGGGGATAGCTCTTCTCGCGAGTCTACCAAGAGCGACTGGTCAGCCGGTTGAGGGTTTTGGTTGGAAGTTAACATGGTTCCATTGGGCGGTTGGGGCCGTGGTAATGTTCGCCGTGTGCGTAGTTTCGTGGTTCCTTTATAAGGGCTTCCAGGGACCGGGGGAGCAGAATGCTTTACCGGATGGTCTTACCGAGGAGGCAGTAGCCCCTCCCTGTGCAGCGGTTGGCGCGCCAGGGGAGGAAGTAGTAGCTGGATCGGTTATAAGTGACGGCCCGAGGCCTTCGGTAGGAGGTCAGACCGAGGAAGAACCTGAGGGTGCCTGTGATGAAACCACAGGATGTGTCGGCGAAGAGGGTTGTGAAAGTGAAGATTCTGATCAGTTCACTGAAGCCGAGTGGCTTCAGGCACAAAGGAAGCTTCAGAATCAAGAGATCCACACGGGATTAACGTTCGTCCAAAGGGCTCGTTTGAGACGGCAGTTAGCTGTTGGTGACCTTGTTGAACCACCGGTAATGTTGGAGCGGTTTGGGTTCTTGCCTGATTGGATGACCAGCCCGGTAGTGCCTTCTGCATCGCAATCAAGCTACCAAGTTGAGGGTAGTTCTGGGAGCGTCGATGGCAGCCCTGATCGCGCGACCCGGCAGCCAATTCAGCTCGAACCATTGCCAGAAAATACCATGTGTTCGGAAGGGTCTCAGGCTTTCGTAGGCGGGGTGACGGGCGGGTCCTGGTTCAGCTCTGAGGGTTTCGGAAGCAGGAGTTGTGATTTAGAAGGGCCTGACGCCATGCCGCGCGATGGAGATTCTGAGGAACATGAGGTGATGCCCCTGCTAAGCGCCGAAGGATCTGATAGTGAAGTAGAATCCGGAGGGTCAGAGGTGATGCCACTGCCCGGTGTTGGAGGGTTTGGTTTAGGGCATTTCGCTGTTGAGGAGGGATCTAGCGGGATTCAAGGGTTCTCCAGTAGCTCTACAGCACCTGGGCACCACGAAGTTCGAGGTCCTGGAGAAGGGTTCTCGAGGGTGTTGACGTTTGCCGATGAGCCTCAGACTGGGGGGAGTTCGAGTAGCCAGGATGTGTTTCATGGGTTGCTTTTGAGTCCGAGGGATGAGGCCGGAGCGAGTTCTAGCCATGGAATGCAAGGGGTTATGCCCGCTGCGTGTTACGAGGATTACTTTCCCACGGATTCGCATCCCTGCTTTCCTCTTGTTGGATCTTGGACTTTAGCACACTTCTTAGTGCACGTGTTTGACGTTGCTGGGATTAGGGTGCTGAGGTGCTTAGGGGATCGTGTTGAGGAATGGAAAGCGCTACGGGTCGCTTCAGCTTTTCTACGGCAAGCGCTGTTAGCTGCGGTTGCTGCTCTTTTGGGAACGGGGCCTCATGCCATCGCTGTTCAAGGACCACAGTGGCCCATGATTGTCGAGCATTATATCTGCCAGGGAGAGTTCATTGGACAGAATACGGGAAGCGAGACTCTAGCCGAAGCCAGTGAATTCACCGGTCCCGTGTTCCCACAGGTCTATTGGGGTCCTCCTTACACGGTTCATTACTTGTGGGTTCTGTTTGCTCAGTACGGTTGTAGTTTGTTGAGTTTCCTCGGGGATCAGGTTCGAGATTGGCGCGCGTTGAAGTTTGTGGCTTCGAATTTTCGGGCTAGCATCACTTATGGGTTGATTGGGTGGCTAGAGAGAACTGGCCGTCAGTATCGAAGCCGGTACCTGAATGATCCTGCGAGTTCTTGGGATGCTGCCCAAGCTTATCTGAGAACCGGTGTGCGAGCGCAATCTTTCGAGAATGCTTCAGAGGACACTGATCGGGATGATGACTCGGGTTTGGATGACCATCCTCATAGGGCCCCGGTTGTTAGGGAGGTTCGGGTTCGCCAAGTGTTGGTAGCCTCGGATGAGACATCCGATGAGTCCTCTGAGCCGACGGAAACTTCCACTACCGAGCCCTCCGTAGCCTCAGTAACTGATTCGAGTGAGTGTAGGGATGTGGGACAAGTTCCCATGCCCCATCCGTTGAGGGAGTCTGAGCTTGGGCTACCGGTGTTGCGCTATCAAGCCGCGGAAGAGGCCCTAATAGTGTACTATGGGGATGACTCTTTTGAAGTTCCTCTTCAGGGTTGGTCCGTTGAAGCAGTTCAGACTATTGTTGATGGGATCGAGTCTGGGGATTGGTCGGATTGGCAGGAAGCCGTTGATAATCTCCCACGTCCCAATCCTGAGGAGGCATTTCCAAGTGAAAGGCTGCAGCTCATTAAGTATGGTCGTTTGTGGGGACGCTGGGCTAGGTTCTGGGTGACTGTAGCGGTTATCCTTGGAGTTCTTTTATGGGGTGTTCAGGGGGCGAGGGCTGAGGACTTTGCTGGTATGTGCGAGCTAGTTCTGCCTGAGAGCCTCGAGTCCCAAGCCTTACAGGCTCCGGAAATACGCCTGCTTGTTACCGAAGAGGGATGTAGTGGGACCCTGCTTGAGTGCCTGTTTCTGAGCTGTTTGCTGATTGGAGCCTGGGAAATCATGAAGTGGATCGCTTCGCGAGTGTTTAAGCGCGGAACCTATGAACAGGGGGCCCAAACGTCTGAGCTGATGTTTGTGCCATTGCCACTGCCTCCTGGGGTAAGGTGTCGAGCTAGGATCCTGTATAGCCTGTGGCGAGCGGGGTATAGCGTTCAGGTTGATGGTTACCCTGAGGGAGTCAGAACGCAATTTGAAGGCCTGGTCGGAGATTGGCTTGTTCGCAACAACGAGGGGATCGAATCCTCGCCGGAGTCTTCCGACTGAGATGGTTGGGAAGATATCCTCCAAGACAAATTCGGCCTTGGGTCGGAGAGGAGAGGGTTGGTTATTTGGATCCCTTAGGTTCGTAGGATCTAAGTTTTTAGAGCAGACAGTAGCGCTGTTGGGTCCTGGGTAATCAAACTTCTCCCTCCTCCATTTTCTTCGAGTTCAGTAGACTAGGGTGCTGAGGTTCGATCGAGAAGTGTCCTCGTAGAGGATACCCCCCACAACAACTACCGTTGGGGTTTCGGAATGGAGCCTGAGTTTTTGATCCTAGTGCATCCTTCTGGGTGCTGATGTAGTTGCGAATGTGGGCAACAGAGGAAGGGCCGTGCGGTGATTTGTATTGCTATCCCTCGAAGTCGGGGCTATCTTTCGTCTTTTCCAAGCATTCCAATCACCTGATCCTTGGAAGACCAGGTGAGGGGGAGTGCGTGTGATGCACGACCCTTCCACGCACAGGATGCCACATGCGACTGCATACCGAAGGCTGTTTTTGGTTTGAAAAGAGGTTTGTGAGCCCGGAGTCGTTGCTTGATTGCAGGCTGGCGTTCAGCTTCCACTTCTCAGGGTTTCATTCATTCGTAAGGTTCGATCCTTAAGTTCACGTACCTAGGGTTTGGCACTAGGGTTTAGGGCCTAGGGTTTGGGCACTAGGGTTTAGGGCCTAGGGTTTGGGCACTAGGGTTTAGGGCCTAGGGTTTGGCACTAGGGTTTAGGAGGGTTTGGGCACTAGGGTTTAGGGCCTAGGGCCTAAAGTTTAGGGCCTAGGGTTTGGCACTAGGGTTTAGGGCCTAGGGTTTGGGCACTAGGGTTTAGGGCCTAGGGTCTAGGGTTTAGGGCCTAGGGTTTGGCACTAGGGTTGAGGGCCGAGGGTTTGGGCACTAGGGTTTAGGGCCTAGGGCCTAGGGTTTAGGGCCTAGGGTTTGGCACTAGGGTTTAGGGCCTAGGGTTTGGGCACTAGGGTTTAGGGCCTAGGGCCTAGGGTTTAGGGCCTAGGGTTTGGGCACTAGGGTTTAGGGCCTAGGGCCTAGGGTTTAGGGCCTAGGGTTTGGGGGCCCTGAGCCCCGGAGCCGAAGCCCGGCTTTGCTGCCTCTGACCCTCCAACAACGCGCGCGCGCGCGAAAAGGTCTTTGGAGGCCTGGCGGTTGTATAGAGATGGATGTATATATATGTATATACGTACGAATATGTATATGGAATTAAATATCTAATCGTATGTTTTTTCTATGACTTAGAGTTGACTCGATGGTACGTCGATAGATATGTTCGTTTGACATAAGATTTACGTGATACTGTGCTTTCGGTAGTTGTTGCTGCTGTTGATATCGTCTGTATCGTCAGACGATTGCTTACATTCATGATCAGAGTTCTCTAGTGTCTGTCTTCGGAGGATGGGTATCCCTACTGGGGAAGGACCCCTCCTTGAAAAAGGTCGCGAGGCGCCGAGGCTGCTACCTCCTGGGTGGTGTGGAGACGCAGCCATTGCCTTGGGAAGACTATGGGTCATCCGTCTCAGATAACTGTCCTGGGATTTTTGCCTTGGGAAGACTATGGGTCATCCGTCTCAGATAACTGTCCTGGGATTTTTGCCTTGGGAAGACTATTGGTCATCCGTCTCAGATAACTGTCCTGGGATTTTTGCCTTGGGAAGACCATGGGTCATCCGTCTCAGATAACTGTCCTGGGATTTTTGCCTGGGGAAGACTATGGGTCATCCGTCTCAGATAACTGTCCTGGGATTTTGCCTTGGGAAGACTATGGGTCATCCGTCTCAGATAACTGTCCTGGGATTTTTGCCTTGGGAAGACTATGGGTCATCCGTCTCAGATAACTGTCCTGGGATTTTTGCCTTGGGAAGACTATGGGTCATCCGTCTCAAATAACTGTCCTGGGATTTTTGCCTTGGGAAGACTATGGGTCATCCGTCTCAGATAACTGTCCTGGGATTTTTGCCTTGGGAAGACCATGGGTCATCCGTCTCAGATAACTGTCCTGGCATTTTTGCCTTGGGAAAACCATGGGTCATCCGTCGCAGATAACTGTCCTGGGATTTTTGCCTTGGGAAGACTATGGGTCATCCGTCTCAGATAACTGTCCTGGGATTTTTGCCTTGGGAAGACTATGGGTCATCCGTCTCAGATACCTGTCCTGGGATTTTTGCCTTGGGAAGACTATGGGTCATTCGTCTCAGATAACTATCCTGGGATTTTTGCCTTGGGAAGACCATGGGTCATCCGTCTCAGATAACTGTCCTGGGATTTTTGCCTTGGGAAGACTATGGGTCATCCGTCTCAGATAACTGTCCTGGGATTTTTGCCTTGGGAAGACTATGGGTCATCCGTCTCAGATAACTGTCCTGGGATTTTTGCCTTTGGAAGACTATGGGTCATCCGTCTCAGATAACTGTCCTGGGATTTTTGCCTTGGGAAGACTATGGGTCATCCGTCTCAGATAACTGTCCTGGGATTTTTGCCTTGGGAAGACTATGGGTCATCCGTCTCAGATAACTGTCCTGGGATTTTTGCCTTGGGAAGACTATGGGTCATCCGTCTCAGATAACTGTCCTGGGATTTTTGCCTGGGATTCTCTTGTCCTGGGATTTTTGCCTTTGGAAGACTATGGGTCATCCGTCTCAAGGCAGCCTTCTTGATGAAGGGTTTCAGCTGAACGGTCATCGCAAAGAAACCTGATAGCTGTGGTTGCTATCGTAAAACGATGGCGTGACCGCAGCTTCAACTGTTGGAGGCAATGTTGTCAGGCAGTGGACACAGTCGGATGTGGAAACATTGAAAGACATGAAATCGAATTCGATAGCTGTTCTAGGTGAGGAGATTCAAGTCATGACACTTGACAGCTATGGTTGCTATCGTAAAGCGATGGCGTGACCGCAGCTTCCGCGGGTTAGGGCGATGTTGTGTTTCTTAACTAGCTCTCTTAGAAAGCTGGTCGGCAGAAATAATTTCTTAAAGTGAAGCGTGTGGCGAGAACGACTGTAAAGAAACAGCACCTGCTTGATCGAAAGAGTGAAAAGTTACGATCTGTAATAGTTGTATGTAAGTGATCTTTTAAAGATTCAAGCCAAAAGAAATAAAACTCTTAAATCTAATGTAATGGGATTCTGTGGGCGGGTGGGGTTTCTTCTAGAAGATAGCTTGACTAGAAATAGCCTGACATGAAATGTTCAAAGTCAGAGCTGCTGAACCCTAAACCCTAAACCCTAAACCCTATAACCCGGCCTGAAGCTCGGGGACATGCACGTCAATTTACTTAAACCCCGCTTTCGGCTATGTATATTAATCTGTTGGACACCCTGCTTAAAGCTGTGTATGTCAATTTACACAAACCTCGCTTGAGGGCTATGTATGTCAAGTTACTGAATTCCGATCTTGTCCTATGCATGTCGATTTACTTAAGCCCCGCTTGGGGCTATGTATGTCAGTTGACTTAAACCCCGTCTGGGCCTGTGTATGCCAATTTACTTAAACCCCGCCCGGGCCTAGGTATGTCAGTTAACTTAGACCCCGTTTGGGCCTCTGTATGTCACTTTGCTTAAACTCCGCTTGGAACTGTCAATGTATTTAAACCCGCTTGGGACTATGAGTGTCAAGTGATTCAAATCCCGTCTGGGCCTGTGTTTGTCAATTTACTTAAACCTTGCTTGGGCCTCACGTCTGGGCTTCACCGAGCCCATTCGTTCCGTATCTTGAACAGCTTTTTTTCAACAACCAAACAAAGACATTCTATGATAATTACCAGCATAGAAACCAATAGATGTATGCATGTTTATTCCCTTAAAGATGTGTTCGAACCTATGCACAAGTATATATGTATACAAAAATATGTGTATATATATATACATATATTATGAACGTATATGTATATATATATATGTATGTACATATTCATATTCATACATGTGCATATGCCGAATTGGGTCCTCGGAGATGCGAATTCATGTCATGCGTATACATTAATGCATATATATATATACACAGATACCTTGGCAAATATATATATATATACACATGTATGTATCTAGATATGCAGATAGCTGAAAACATGTACATATACGTATATAGATGTACCTCTAGTTCTGGAAACAAATACAAGAATACATCTGGGAACAAATATAGACAAACACCCAAATTGAAATATATATATATTATTATTACTATTATTACTATTATAGATACAAGTAAACATTTACATTTAAGCATGTATACAAATATGTGTATATATATGCACACATAAGCAAGTAAACTAGAGGTATACATATGGTTTTAAGTAAATGTTTAGGTATTAGTACAGACAAACAAACAGCAGATGCGCAGAAAATGTAAATCTATATTTAGATACACATGCAAACGTGAACAAACAAACAATACAAATGAAAACCATCGTCATGGAAACAAGTCGAGCCATAGGTCTAAGTATGCATGCAAATAAATATATACAGATGCATATATGAGTATAGACTGTATAGACACAGATAGAGACATAAATGTAAGTTTCGATTTCAATTGGAATATAAAAATATTTAGATTTCATCTAACCGTGTGCATGTATGAAAGCAGTTACACTTTGAAATATTTTCGCCTCGGTCGGTGGCTTCCGCCCCCGAAGATGTGATTATCGACAAAAATAAAGCATAAACATGGATATAGGCTTGGATACAGGTTCAACAATGCGCGCATATACATACTTATGGATGTGCATTTCTGGTTAGAGACCCAGACAAAAAAGATACAAGCACGATTTTGGTTTTACGAAATTTAGCTACATATTCCACCTCGGCCGGTGGCTTCCCCTCCCTCCCCCTTTCTCCTTTTATGTTCTGGAGAGGGAAGCGCACAAATTTTCGTCGGTTGGGTGGGTTGGCGGGGCAAGCAGGAAGGGGCCAGGGAGTGGGGGTGGGGGAAGGGGCAGGGGGTTGGGGGGGCAGGGTCGGAGGGGGTGAAAGGAAGCGCGCCAAGCGTTCCAAACATTGAAAGAGGGGTGGGGGGCGGGTTGGGGGGGAGGGAAGCAAACATTTTTGGGGGGAGGGGAGAGGGTTCCAAACGGTCATAGAGGGGTGGGGGGAAGGCACGAGGGGAGAGGGTTCCAAAAAGTTGACAGAACCGGTCAAGCGGAAGGGGCAGGGGGTCGGGTGGTGGGGTAGGGGGGGCAAGGCGAGAGAAACATGAATAGAGGGGTGGTGGGGAAGGCAGGAAGGGCAGGGGGTCTGGTAGGGTTGAATATTCACGCAGGAACCATAACAAGTAGGTTGCAGGGGAATAGGCAGGGTGCCAAGGAGGGAAGGGGCAGGGCGTCTTGGGTTGGGAGGAGGGGGGACGGCAAAACGGTAAGGGGAGAGGGGGTTGTTGGGGGGAAGCAGGTAGGGGGAGAGGGCGGGTTGGGGGGGAGTGGCAGGGGGGAGAGGGTTACGGGGAGCGTTCCAAACGAACGGCAATGAAAGGTGGTTGCAGGGGAATAAGGGGGAGAGGCAAAGGGAAGAGGGAAGAGAGAGAGGGAAGGCAGAGGGAGAGGCAGAGGGAGAGAGGTGGAGAGGGAGAGGAGAAGGGAAGAGACCAGGAAGGGCAGGGGTTGGGTTGAAAAAAAGAGCGGGTTAATTGGGAAGAGGAGGAGGGGGGAGGGAGGGGAGCAATCAATGGAGCGACCATAAAAGGAGGTTGCAGGGGAATAGGAAGGGGGCCAGGGGGGGAAGGGGCAAGGGGTCGGGTGGTGGGGGTTGGGTGGGGGAGGAGGGGGGGGGCGGTAAGACAGCAAGGGGAGAGGGGGTTTGGGGGGGGGAAGTCGGGTAGGGGAGAGGGCGGGTTGGGGGAGTAGGAGGGGAAGGCCCCAAACGGGAATCGGGTGGTGGGTGGAGGGGGGGCAGGGGTGGGGTGGTGGGGTTGGGGGACGGTGAGGAGAGGGCGAGAGAAACAGGCAGGAAGGGTAGGGGGTCGGGGATTTTGTACACCATTAAACAAAAAAACCTATGCTCGGGGCTCGGGGTAATAAGGCCTTAATAAGGGCTTTATAAGGCTTTAATAAAGCCTTAATAAGGCCTTAATAAGGGCTTAACAAAGCCTTAATAAGGGCTTAATAAAGCTTTAATAAGGGCTTAATAAGCTTTAATAAGAGCTTAATAAGGCCTTAATAAGGGCTTTATAAGGCTTTAATAACGGCTTTATAAAGCCTTAATAAGGGCTTAATAAGACTTTGATAAGGTTTTAATAAAGCTTTAATAAGGGCTTAATAAAGCTTTAATGAAGGCTTAATAAAACCTAATAAGGGCTTAATAAGACTTTGATAAGGTTTTAATAAAGCTTTAATAATGGTTTAATAAAGCCTTTATAAGGGCTTAATAAAACTTTAATGAGGGCTTAATAAAACCTTAATAAGAGCTTAATAAGCTTTAATAAGAGCTTAATAAAATTTTTCTAAGGGCTTAATAAAGCTTTAATAAGGGCTTAATGAAAGCTTAATAAGGCCTTAGTGAGGCTTAACAGAGCTTTAATAAGGGCGATATAAAGCTTTGATAAGGGCTGAATAAAGCCTTAAGAAAGGCTTAATAAGGCTTTACTAAGGGCTTAATAAGGCCTTAATAAGAAATTAATAAAGCCTTAATAAACCTTAATAAAAGCTTAATAAAGGCTTAATAAGGGCTTAATAAGGCTTCAATACGGGCTTAATAAGGCTTAAATAAAAGCTTAATAAGGGCTTAATAAGGCTTTAATAAGGGCTTAATAAGAGTTTAATAAAGCCTTAATAAGAGAAGTTTCCGAACCGTTGTTTCCGAGCGGAAGTTTCCGGACCGTTGTTTCCGAGCGGAAGTTTCCGGACCGTTGTTTCCGAGCCGTTGTTTCCGAGCGGAAGTTTCCGGACCGTTGTTTCCGAGCGGAAGTTTCCAGACCGTTGTTTCCGAGCGGAAGTTTCCGGACCGTTGTTTCCGAGCGGAAGTTTCCGGACCGTTGTTTCCGAGCGGAAGTTTCCGGACCGTTGTTTCCGAGCGGAAGTTTCCAGACCGTTGTTTCCGAGCGGAAGTTCCCGGACCGTTGTTTCCGAAGTTTCCGAGCCCCGAGCTTCCCCCCCACCCCCACCCCCCAACCACTCGGCGGGTTCGGGGGCTCGAGGCTCCCCCCACCACCTCCACCCCCACCCCACTACTGGCAGCCTCGGGAGCGTGTCCAGTCACCCAGACGCAGGGTTCGTGACTTCCATGATCGTCCGTCACGTAATCCTCCCCGAACAGACCTCCGTGTGCAAGAATCGACCAGAGGTATCGGAGATTCGTTCCGTGAAGGAACGTTTCCTGAGGATCGTATATGTCCGAATTCATCGCGGGGACATACACCCATCCATCAGTCGGGCGGATGGTAGTCTGCGCCGCACCGTCCTCATAGGTCATAGGGGTGCTGGCTCCCCAGTTGAGCGTATCATCGATGCTAACGCATCGCCCGGGGTAGGTCTCAGCCATCGCTTTCATGAACGAGACCCACCCGCGCATCAACGGGGTATTTTCATCGTCGTCTTCGTTGCGAAAGGCGGCCGCTTCCCCGATCCCGTTCGCATCCACGGCAGGAAGATCGTAGCCGTGTTCCTTGCGATCGTTATCGAGGTGAGTCGCTTGCTCTTTCAAAGAGTCCAGCGTGGGGAATCGGTTAAGAGCCTTGAGTGCCAGAAATGCTCCAGGGATGAAAGATAGTGTAACCTGGCTGACCGCATCCCTAGACAACTCAATGGGCGACAGCTTGGTGAGGTCGTTGTGTTTGATACTCGTATCGGTCCTCAACCATCGCTGCTCCGCAGTCGAACTGCTGTATCCCATGAGATTTCGGTTCCAGCTCGCAAGAGGCGACGGGATATAACAGGTTCCCATGAGACGGAGCGTATCGTTGCTCAGTGTCTCTCGGGATCCCTTAAAGCTCTGCGCTTGAAAGTGCATACAGTGGCGAGCCAGCGCCATCGTAAGGTCCATTTTCTCGCGGACCCCTGCGGCGTCACCAGACAACGTCGCCACTCGGGAAAATGCAAGAGCGCACATCACCCTGTAACGGTCGATGAAGTCCATAATCTCTCGGGGGTACTGCTTCCTCTGCTTATCCGCGAGCGGATGAGTAGTGAGGAGGAAGGAGTCAACCAGCTGGTGCAGCTTTTGATCGTAACCAGGGTTGCATGTCAGCTGCTCGAGGCGTTGCCAGATTGAGGCCTGTGGGATCTCTTGGATCCCGATCTTCAGCATCATCGCCTTCATCCTCAATCCTATCGGAATGTCCTCGGAGCGCTTTCCACCCCCGGTAGACTCATCTCTCGGAGTCTGAATCGGGACTGGGGCTTCATCGGTGCCCATATCAGAATCAGCCTGCTCCGTGGGAATCGGCGGAGCAGGAGGCCTTTCCATAGTCGGCGCAATCGGACCGCTCGGAAGGCCTTCCCCGCATGGCGAGGGAGACTTCGGCTGAGGTGATCGGGCAGCCGGTGTCTTGGCAGCAGCCTTCTTCGGTGGCTGCTTGTTCTTTCCTCCCATCGTTCAGCAGCGGCGGCAGCGCGGAGAAGTTCGCAGCCCGTGGCAGCTACAACCTGTCCTAGCAGGGAGCGCAGGTGGGCTATGGATTGAGTCGTAGTAGAGGTGGTCTGTGATGGTCGGTTGATGAAGGTGATCTATGATCGTCGTCCCTAGAGCTCCTTACCAAGCTGTAGTCAAGTGTGAGTGTGCAAGTGTGTGTGTGTGTGTGTGTGTGTGAACATGGCCTTGGCGTCTTTGTTTAAGCAATCGGCAACGCGGATTGCTGTGAGCCAAAAATCGCAGAATTCATGAAATGTTCAAGCACAGTCCACAATGCAAGTCGAAACTCTTTCGGGTCGGCCCTTTTGGCCTTCTTGTGATTGCATGCAAATCGTGACATGAAGATGGGCCCAAACCGGGCAGGCATGAAAATCTCACACATCCATGCATGCTGGGAACATCGACCAGAGGAGCACGAACATAGTTTAACTGGGCAAAGCTCGTGCGATTCGGACCATCGTCTTATGTACTCCCTACCCCACAACGGGTTTCCCTTCGGTAGCACAAGGAACACAGGAATTCCGGATGATCGGGCAGCGGAAGCATATCCAAGTAATTTCTTAGCTTCCCATCCTTTTTCCTTTAGGTCGCCCCTCATTTCTTTCCAACCCCTGTTCTTGAAACCAGCTTCTCTTTTGTTAGCGGTGCCAGCAATCGGAACAGTGACAATACATACCGCAGGCGTAGGCGGAACCCTGATGTTCGAAATAGCAATCCCTTTTGCATTATCATCGAGACTGAGATTGATACTTCGAGCATGAGGGAATCGGATTATGCCTTCGCCTCCGATATGAATACATTTTACTGCTGCTCCGAATTGGTGAGCATCATCAATTGAAATACCCCCCTGACGAGACATGTCGAGGATGAAATCGTTGAAGGGGCTGTGACCGGTTTCAAGATGTACCCCCCTGGTTGGACAGACAGAGGGGAGAGCAGGGAGAGCGGGAGCGGCAGACAGCATACCGGAGGAAATAAGAGTACCTTTACGAAAATGACCAATAGACATAAGGTTGCGGCCCCACACCTTGGCATCAGTGCAGGCCTTTGTCAGAATATCACCAGCCTCGAACTGAGAGGGACACGTCACGAACAGAAAATCCCCAGCGTGATAGCGCTCGTTCAGCGCAGAGATATCGATACGCTGGGTACGAGACATGTGACGCATGTTTGGATTGTGACCAGTGATAATGACTCGAATAGCGGCCTCATTGTCTTCCATGACCCGCAATCGGAAACGGCGGCCCAACATATACTCCCACATAGATTGAGCAGGCAGGCCCAACTTATACACAGCGTGGTCAAGAGAGACAATTTCGGCCTCGGGGGTAGACTTCGACACAGAAGTTTGCTTCTTGGACAAAGCATTAAGAGGCATAAAGCTACGCGGCCCAAGAAGACACATAAAGACACCAGAGGTGCTCTTGGAATCAGTACGGTCACCCGCAAGATCGGCATCGCAGTAGAGCACAAGCTCCAGCATCTCGGGTAGAGTTGATATAGCACACCAGTCGATGGAGTTTCTTATCACACAAGCCATCCCACTTGGTGATGAGACTGGCAAGTGCCTGCACAGGACGAATCAAATCGTACTGCCCCATGCGAGCACCATATAGGATTTTCATCAGAACGGCGGCTGCACAGTCGCCGAGAACGCCTTTACCAGGAGGCACAGGCGTGTCAGCGGGATGGCCCAATAAGCGGTTCACAGCAGGTCGATCCGGATTGGTATCGAATTCCGGTCGCGATTCATCGAGGAACGGCGTATCAGCCGACCGCAAGGTGGCTTTATACTTAGGGCCACAGAGCTCAACATAGCGAGAAACACATTGTTCCATGAACGATCGCATATCGTATTTGATCATTCGAATTTCTCGAGGACCAACAGAGCCCTGCGCGACACTGGTGTCTCGATCGCCAAATGTCAGCTCGGGAAACGCCTTCTTGGGCTCCTCGAAGCGCGTCCAATAGGAGCGCGGATCAAAGGCACTAGGAACAACGTGGGAGAAGGTAACATGCTCGCATCCCAAGTAACGTTTGATGCTCGAGGGCGGCTCCAATTTAATCTTCGATGCCATGAGCTCCCACCCCTTGGCCAGATTGGCCTTTGGCCCACTGAGTTTAAAATCATCGACGTAGACCACGAGCATAAGATTAAGTTTGGGATGACGAAACACACTCTTCCAGTCGGGACATTGCTCGAATCCAACCGATCGAAGAGCCTTCTCACAGTGTTGTTCCCAGAAACCACCGGCATCCGGATGCCCATAAAGAGCCAACACAAGGCGTACGACCGGATCGTGATATTTGCCATGCCATTCGGGCAACCAACGATCCTTGGGCAATCGGACCCACGTTGCCGGGCCGCCAAGCTTAGCCTGGGTGTAGGCAGATTCGCCATCGGCAACCTGTATTTCATGACCAGGAAGAAGACCGAAAGCATCGGCGGCCTTTCCAGCTTCCATGGTCGCGGGGCAAGAGGTGATCTCGGAGAAAATAGCCCAATTATTGCCTTCATCTTTGACATGGCAACCTTCAAACACCACGCGACCCTTAAATTTGCGGTTAGGATCGGACTCCGGAGGCTCGGAATTCTTCTCAACGCATATATCGAAGATACGGCCAACGTGGGCCGTTTCCCCTTTTTCCATAGCCTCGTTGGACACATCGCGCCACTCACGCACGGATGCGTAGTCCCAACATCCTTGGTTGATGAGCTTATTCCACTCTTTGTCAAGGGCGGCTTTCGCCTTGGGATTAGCGGCACGCTCTTTTCGGTCAACGGGCCGTGCGACACACGCACTATAGAAGAAGACCGTTGAATCGGGAGATCGGTGTGAATGAGGATCAGGGCGAACAGGCATGGCAGGTGCTGTATCAACAGCAGGACCGTCATCGGATGGTTCAACCGGCGCAGAAACATCACCTTCCACATCGTCTGCGGTGAAGTCGAGTTCAACCGCTGCCAAAACGGAAGTGTAAAACTGAACCACCGCAACGTCTTGTCCGGGCTCGACTATAATATCGTATTCGGTAGGATTAAGGACGTCAACACCGGACTGAGTTGCCCCTTCATTATACGTGTACATGGCCGGGCAAACATCGAGGCCACTGCCGCGGAGCGGCTGAAGACGGGCTGACATACCACCCGGGGGCTCAAACTCAAGATCCGTAACGACACAGGCGCGAGATTTGGCAGGCACGACATTACGGCCCTTTGCACGCAACGCGTGTCCATAATAGCCATTCGCAGTCTGCACGCGGCGCCCCGTGTCATCTGTGTTCGGCATACGGGTTCGAACTTTAATCTGCGTTTTGGCGGAAGAACCAATAACGAAGACTGTCTTTCCCGTCCATCGGCACGGCAGAGATCGAGCATCGGATGATCTCCACGAGTCCTGCAATGTAAACTCGGTGCCGTCAGTCATGGCCATAGTCATCCTGACATCGGTCAATGTGGCAGGATCAACGGGACAATCTTTGACGGAAGTAGGATTGAAGCGCGCTCGGCGTTCGATCACATGAAATCGGGTGATCGTGCCAGCTGCGACATCGTGATACCAGTAATCCTTGTCATGCCGTTCGGCACCCGACTCATATTCTGAATCGTAAGCGATGTCGACAGGAGCGGCATCGCGAGAATCCTCTCGGGACATGGCATGAGACTCAGCTTCGCGGCGCTCAGCCTCGACATATCCCTCCCGTTCGGCGCGATTCATACTGCGCCAGGATTCTGAGTCGATAGAGTTCGGTTTTCGAGACCCTTTATATGTCCGCTCGGAACGCGGCACACTCTGACGATAAGGCAAACCCCCTTCGCCCTCCAGGATCTCTGACCCATGATAAGGAGGTAACTTCTTCTTGGGTGGGGCAAAGCCGTCATCATAGAACTCAACAGTGCCGGTCCAGAGCTGCATGAGTCTTGTCTTGCCGAAGGCATACCCGGTCTCATAGATCGTAACCGGGCTTTTGTCCTTGTATTGAACATGCGATATACGCACCGTGCTAAGCTTCCATGGATCAGGCGACTCTCCTATGGAACCGGGAGTCTTACTGGGATGAACCATCGCTTTCCTTGGAACAACGACGTGATACGTCCACTTATGCGCAGATGGATCATACTCCCAGTAGTCGACGCCTCCTCCATGAGAGGACTCTGCTCGTAACTCAGCCTCACGAGCCTGTCGAATATCTTCATCAGTCATTCGCTTTGACTCGTCAAGGGCGAAGATTTCGTCGATATCTTCGAGATCGAGCATGTCGGAGGCGTCAAGACGCTCACTCGGCTGTGGCACGTTAGAATGCATCGCGGGATCGTTGATGCATACTGATCGTGTCTGTTTGTCGTACACAGCCAGCATCGGAAACGTCCATCGCTCCTTAGGTGAGCAATAGATCTTCTTGACCTGATGGACGCTTGCACGCAATGCGTCGCGCTTGAAACCTTCAAGGTCGGCGACAATGTAGTCACCGTCCCACTTGCCCCCATTCTCGAAGTGGTAACCCAGAAATACACCAGGCTTGCTCGTGGGAGAGAACTTGCTGGGGCGCTGGTAGGATGATAAGCGTTGATCAACATCGGGTCCTTGGAGGGATCCAGATCGATCGTCATCTCCATCGTCGATCCATTCGAGATAACCATCATCATCGAATCCAATTTCGACTTCGACCAATCCATCATCTCCAGGCGCGGGTACAGCATATTCCTCACCATCGCCAAGTACGACTTCATCTCTCTGACTACGCCGGGTTTGTTTCCGTGCCGGCGTGGGATAGAAGTCAACAAGACATCCGAATGGAAGAACCTGACCGTCAAATTCGGCACCATTAAATCGGAGCGAATACGCACTTTGCCCTTCGCGCAGCTCGATGTTGCGAGCATGACAGAAGTGCTTACACGCATAAGGCCAGAATTTGGCGCTCAGACCCGCTTGCCGAAGCGCCACACGTGCGCCATGAAGGACAAGCTTCACCCTGCTCTCGGCAATGGCATTAGTGCGAGGCATGCCAGGAGTGGAATGCTTTACAGAGATGCCAACTCTCTTGCAGGTCGATATGAACTCACGGGCTTTATCACAGTAGATTTCCCGGATCGCGGAAGGTGCATACCTTCTCTCCACATCCATGGAGAACGAGTTCACATCCTGAAGGTCACCGAAGACCTGCTGGAACGCTCGAAGCGTGTCGGCATTCGTTCTCCCCTTGACGGGGACACTCTCCAACCACTCAGTTGCTAGATCATAGAAGACAACAGCATCTGTTTCCCCATTATTCCCGCGATTGCCAAGCCCGTGCAACACCATAGTATCGATGGTGACGTGCTCGCCAAATTTCTCAAACCCTTTATCGCGTGGTGAGTCTTGGCGAAATGACTTAACGTTTTCCATCTTTGCACGTTGGCAAGCATCGCAATAGGGGTTCTTAGGTAAATGGGTCATGGGGTGACGGATGGATTTTGCCTCCTCCCTCAGATCGCGCGCTCTCGGTTCGTCGGGTGGCGATTGATGCTTAGGTTTGTTGGGCACCTTCTTGGCATCGTCAGGTGCACCTTTCTGGGCACTCTTAGCACCAGGCATATCAAGATCGAGCTCTCCGATATCGTCTAGCTCGCCTACGGGCTCTTCACCAGCAGCCACGATTTTCTCGTGGATAATGATCGGTGCTGGGAGTGCCGGATACACACGAGGGAGATCAGGTCGACCCGCCACTACCTCGGTTTCGCTCGGAGCGAGGTAGGGGATGTTATTGATAACATCAATCTTGAGTCGCTTCCCTTTGGGGTCAAAGAATATCGGATCGCAAAAGGGTTCCCAGATAAATCGGTAACCAAGCTCCTTGCATCGTTTCCCAAGGGAAAGGAGACTTGGTGTGCTTTCCAACACATAAGCTTCAATCAGCTCATCGAGGCCGTCAATGCGCATATGGGCAACACCCTTGGTGTTAGTTTTCCCATTGGCGGTCCTAAGGCTAATCTTAGCATTCTGAACTATCAGATCCCTTTCCTCGCGGGACAGATCACCGAGACCAATAAGGTCTATACCGCAACCGGAGTCGAGCATAAGTCTCCGGACCCTCTTAATAGACTTGACAGCAGCAGCAAAGACCTCGCAAGCGCTCCGCTGAGAAAGCGTGAGCTCAAGAACACAAGCATCATTTCCTAGCGTTTTGGCATCAACGTCATCGAGCAAAACCTGCTCTCTCCAAAGCACAGCCTTCATGTGTGCCCTTCGCCTCTCGCGAGCACTATTCAGACCACGGATATCTTCCGGCCACGAATAGTTCAAATTCCTCTCGCGATTGACGGGACCGAAGTTTGGCTCCGGGAAAGAAGACTCTATCACGCGGGTCTCAGTATTCCCAAACGATACTGTCTTCCGCTTGACTGACGGACATGCCATATCGAATGATGCAACGCAAGCGAAGGCGAAGTCTCCAAAGGAGGATGCTGTCATTGCCTGAGGGTTGCGGCACGCCCCTTTCAAAAATCCGAGGGCGTGGGCGCCGGGCTGTCAACCCGCCTTGATGTCGGCGCGGGCTCAGCAGGCGCAGGAGCGGCGGCAGGAGTGCTCTCAGCTGGGGCACCCGGCTTCACATGCTTATAGGGACACTTGTCGCCTCTCGAGCAAGTGCCTCGTGCAAAATAGAAGCAGATACCAGACTCCTTTGAAATCGGTGACTGAGATCGAGGCGGGAAACCCTTCGGCGAGGAGCTTCTTCCCTTCAGGTTGTGGGAGAACTTGCATCCGCTTCCTCGCGTGCATCTGCCTTTCTTGAAATCGTAGCAGATTTCCCGTCCTCGCGGGGATCGCGACATCGGGCGAGTCGGTGCGGGAGCTGCTCGTCCCGGACTGCGGGAATATCGCCTTGGCGATCCGCGTCGCGGGGAGGATCGTCTGGGTGACGAGCGCCTCGGCGAGCTCCTTCGGTACGGACTCCCTCTCCTGGAGTCACGACGCCCAGGCGATCTTGACCCTCTTTGACCTCGGGATGAAGATCTGCGCGGGCTGCCATGCGCAGGTGCAGCGTATCGTCTTTGCGCAGAGGTAGACCTTGTAGCGGTGTACATCTTCTCCTGATTGCGTCGTCGGCGCCAAGTTGTAATCGCGTCGACGCAGACGGTTCGCAAGTATGCGTAGTTCCGTACGGATACGTCCCTGTCCCATAACTGCATATCGAGCTCGAGACAGCGGAACTCACGCACCTGCTCGTAGAAGAGGGCGCAGAGAACAGGATCTTCGGGGCGATCAACTGAGATACCAGCGAGAACATGATCCCACCGATTGGAGAAGGCTTCCAGCCTTTCCTGCTCGGATCCATGAGTAAACCGATCAATCGTGGTCTTCATCAGGTCAACGAGCTTGAAAGTCGAATCGCCAGTGACATGTGGTCGAAGGAAATCATACAGTAGCCACAAGATCTGCCTACTTCCGAGTCGCCGGTTTATCGTATGCATGCGCTCGGTCTCGGTCTGGATCTTATTCTTCAGTGCAATGGATCGGACGCACTCTCGGAACGCAGAGTTGCATTCGTTTTCAAGCATTCCGTACTTGCACTCATCGAGGAGATCTTCATATCGTGTACCATCGGGAATCTCAACCCATGAGAGTGCGTATCCGGGATCGTAGGCGAATGCGTTCGCGACTCGCTCTTTCATATCGACGATCCAGCGTCGCAGCTGAGCAGGCTCCGGCTCGGGATCGAGACGAAAGGACTTGCACTTTGCCTTCTTGGCCTCGCTCAGCGATCCATCGCCCTTGGGTCCACCGGATCCCGAATCGTTGGGACCAGGTGGATTTCCAGTCTGTCTCTCAAGACACACGAGACAGATTCTCAAAGGATCTCGGCAACATCCGTTGCAGCACGAGAATCGGCAAGATATGCACGACCGTCGCACGGTGGTCGGGAAAGTTCCGGTGCAGCGCTCGCACTGGAACGTATCGTTCCCACTCGGCCGACCGGAGGGCCTGATGCTAGGCGGATCAAGGCCGCCATCGGGCGGACCACTCCCGCCAGGAGGGCCGCCACCACCAGGCGGACCACCAGGTGGGCCATCGGATGGGCCACCACCGCCACCGGGGCCAAAACCGGACCCGTGGTGTCCATGTCCTCCGAAGCCACCGCCATATGCACCCCCGTCATCGTTGGGGCCATCACCACCGGAATAACCGCCGTCTCCGTTATGCGCGGGCGGCGGTCCGCCAAACCCGGATGGCGCGGCACTGGGTGCAGGAACGGACGTTCTGGCACTGAAGGTAGGCATCGGGGGCATGGCATCGTTGGCTGCAGCATGCTGAAGCGTTGCAGTAACGCTCGTGTTCGGCGCAAGGGTAAAAGTACCGGTCTCACTATGGAGAATTGGTGCGCCAGCACTGTTGCCAATGAGATTTGATCGGCCAAGCATCGCATCATACCATCGTGATGGTCCCTTCCCTGCATCATCGACTTGATATGGCCTGAGGCTCGGAGCCTGACCGGAAGTCGCTCCGGCGGCATTTGCGGAAGGAACGGCCTGATTCGGCGATCTTCCCGAAAAACACGCCGACGTTTGGCCAAAATTATGTCGGACGGGCTCAACAGGATTATTTTGCCCGCGACTTTCGGCAGGTTGTTCGTCAGCGACTCGTTGCTGCGCTCGCCTCAGAATTTCATCGAGATTGATTCCACTCGTCTGAGAGTGAACCGTTGAGGCCTTTTCAGCAGGCGCAGCGTTGCATCCCGGCGGAGAGCCGTGATCGATCGGACCCAACAGGGAAGACCTCGGGATAGCTGTAGTCGGTCCGCCAGGGAATAGAGCACCAGGAACTGGCGGCAGGTCCGCGGGGCGTGGAATATCCCCACCGTGGTCACTGATATCGAAGAACTGCGTCCGTTCCGGACGCGAAGGCGTTGATCTATCAGAACCGCCTCTGCGGACATGAGCGTTTTCGAGGTGCTGGATCCGAGCAGTCAGCTGATCGATATGAGCTCGGTTACTCTCCTTATGATCGTAGAGAGCGCGACTCATCTCAGATCTGATGACTTCGATGCGGTGCCGAAGCGCATTAGAGATATTGATCTGGATCTGCCGCAGCACGTCTGGGTACTGCTTGATGTGGCGGATCGTTTCGGCAAGCTGCATGGATAGCGATCCAGCACGCTTTTCGTTGAATTGATGGATCCGCTCATCGAACTCAATGAGTCGATCGTTGAACATCGAAGTGAGCTTCGCAAAATGATCTTCAAGCGTCTCGTGGTCAGAAATCCGCCTCTCGTGGAAAGAGTCCTGGAACTGCATGAACAGCTCACGCTCTTTCCTCAACTCGGCCTGAAGAAGCTCCCACATGTCTCGGATCTTGCTTTCGAGCGCTTCGGTGATATCCGAGACGCCGTTCCTCAGTATATCGAGGTCGGCTTGGGTGTTGGCCACACCCTGCGCGATCGCCAGAATATCGGTGGCGATGCGCGCGGATGCGTCCGACCCAATGGCTTCATCGACCAGGGCCCTGACAGCACAGGGTCCAGCAAGCCTCCCGCCGGAATCGGTGGCGGGGGCAGCACCACCATGATCCGCCGCGGTAATCGTTGCGACGGAATCATGGGGTGCAGCTGGGTGCTCGCTCATAGGCACGTCGGGGAGCGGGGCTCCACCGCGGCCAGCCACCGGCCCGTAAGAATCGGGGCGCGGTGGACGGAAAGACGCTGGGTCCGAAATCGGTGGACCGCGGTCGTCTGGCCCGGACCCAAAGAGGGCCCGAGCGCCCTCTGGATCCCCGCGAAGGGACAGAGGGCAAGAGGAAAGATCGGTCGGAAGAAGAGAAGGTGCGGAAGCAGCAGGGGCAGCGGACGCAGAAAAGGCAGGCAACATGGGCAAAGCACGAGCGGTGGCAGAAGCAGGCAGCAAGCCGGGGTGCATCGTGCCAGGCGTTGCGAAAGCAGCAGCAGCAGAGCATGGCAAAAGCGGCGCATGGTGCTGAGCTCTCTGATCGTCCTCAGCAGGCGGCGAAGCAAGCAGCGAAGCAGAGCGAGCGAGCGAAGCGTGCGAGGCGGGCGCAGTGCAGCGAGATGCGTGGGCACTATCATCGGGCTCCACGACATCCCGAGCAAGTGGCGTCACTAGTGAAGAACCGACAGTTGAGGGGACACGGGGAGAACCGATCGGAGTCGCCATTCTCTCGGTGGCGCGGCCAATCACAAGTTCCGAACTTGGTCTGAGCCAGGAAAACGGTAGTGATCGGACGCTGATTGGATCAGGCGGTCCGAGTGCCGAGCAGCAGCAGCGAAGCAGCAATCCACAATCGGATGCGGAGGCCTTACGGCTGATAACCTGTGAAAAGCGGAGGATTCCACTCAACTCTCGGTCACAAAGCCCAAGGCAACCAATCGTAGATCAAGGCAAAGCAGCAAAGCAAAGCAAGGATGATCAGAGATTAAAACCGTAAGGTTGACGCTCAGGTAGAAGACAGGTCCTACAACCCCCAGGCTGTAAGCGGTCTTTTCCTGGGACTCGCAAAGCGGTCCTTGAGCAGTCAAGCTGCGTAGTGAGACAAAGTTGGCATGAATCCTAACCAAGATGCAGACGCACATGTGCGCATGTCCGTGACAAATCACAAAAAGGTTCGGCTTCAGGCTTCAGGGCAGTGTCATCGATGTGGTCATGCTCGCAGTTCCAATGAAAGCGTTCTATCTCTTTCCGGAGATGCCGCAAAGGGTCGGCTTGGGCTTGTTATTGTTTCATCTCGCATACTGCTGTATGGAAGAAACCGAAAAGCTTGTGAAGACTCGACATGCGGCGAGAGAACACGTGCATAAGCACAGCTCAACTTACTGGTTTGGCAGGGGCGAGCAAGATTTCGAACAGTGTGCGAATCCCTTCGAACCCGAGGATGGACCAACAGTACAGAATTTCGAGCGCAAAATACTTGACTGCGAACGGTGATCTTCTTCACTGCTGGCTCTCCACCCCGGAATCTTAGAAGCCTCGCGGCGGACGTTTGTCCAAGCAGCGACACTCTGACTCACATGCCATTCGAGACTGTCCGCAGCCGTACAACGGAAACCCTGGGACCGAAAACACTTTGGTGCCTCCTCATCTCCTAGCATGAGACGGCTTGCGGACTGTTGATTGTCTTGGCCATGTCTCTCGCCAACTCAGTCCCCTAGCACTTTTGGCACATGCCCTCGTGCAACAAAAACCCTCCCCATAGTATCCCCCTGCCGTGCTTGTAGATCTTGTAGGTGGTCCGCGCAAGCAAGCCCTTGCAGCCAACACAAGAGCAATCAAATTATCGCGTGCCCTGGCCTTGCTTGTGGCGAGCCCTCTCGATGCCCGACCTTGAAACAAATCGCACCGGTGCTCGAGATGCTTTGTTCCGTGCCGCACACACCACTCAACAGCAAACTGAAACATCTACGTCTCTGGACAGGCTTTTTTGGCAGCTGCAAGACCGCTATCCAAGTGAAACTCATCACATGCGCGAGTATGATTCGGCATCAACGGGCGATGTCCATCGTGGGTTAATGAGCAAACGGGCAGGCTGTCAGTGTGCGCGTACCGAGCTCGGTGAGCTTCTTGTAAGCCGCTGCGAAGTCCCTGCGAAGGGCATGGTTGTCGTCGCTGCCTGTGTCATCAACTGCGTACTCCTCGAGTGTTTGCCGGAAGACTGGGTCCCACAGCAAGACCATGTCGGCAACAAGCATCATCTGGTTAGGATCATCTAGACCTGATCCCCCCTCGGATTCCGGGAACTTGTTCACATACTGGCGCTTGCCTGGAGCGGGTCGCAGCTCGCTGGCGCCAATGGAGTCAAGCCAGGTATCGCTGTGGGAAACCATTCGCCAAGGGTCTTCGATCATGTCTGCAGCATACTCGTTCGACCATCTGGTCATTTCTTCCACCCATGGCCCTGCATAGCCGGAGTGCTCCGGGTGGCAGCGACCCCAGAGGTGACCACCAGTCATAAGTGCGACGATCTCGCGGTCGTTGAAGCCCATACGGTAGAACACGTCGCGCATGTGCTGCGCAAGCTTTTCCCAACCCAAGATCCTGCCCTCGCTGTCAAGAACCTTGTCTCTGTCGAACCCCTCAACAAGACCATATTCTGCATGCGGAAGGCGGCTTGATGCTTGGCCATCAATCACTGGGCCATCCCAAACTGGGCAGCCCTTCTCACTGGGAGTGTCCATGCGCCCTGGCTTGAACTCGATCGACGGGCCACCCATGTGCTCGATGGCGACGTATGCCGCAAGAATCCACATGTCGGAGTACGACATCAGAGGATACTTATCCTTGATCGGCTGGAGGTATTTGATCGCATGGTCCAGACCTGCATTTTCTGGATCCATGGACTCGGTGCCATGCACGAAACGCATGGCCGCACCTTCTGAGCCTCCAGTGTTGGTGTACTTTGAGTAGGTGCCCGACGAGTGCCATGCAAGTCGGATGAGCAGTGGACCATAGCTTCCATCATCCCAATTCGGATCATCCATGAGATTCTTGAGATCGGCGCGCACGGCGCTGTAGTCAATGTTTGCTGCAGGCAGTGTTCCAGAGCCCTCAATATTGTGCAAGTCAATGTGGAAGATGCTGCCATTGTCGAACTGGATGGCGAATGCATTGCCTAGAACTGGTCCGACGACGATGCCTTGCGAGCCAGCCATTGCTGGTGGTCCGTTGAGGGTAACCCGCTGTCCAGGCTGGAAAAGCAACTCCTTTGTTGCAGCAGCGCGACAGGCTGTGTGTCCTGTCCGACGGATCATATTTGGTCGCGGAGCAACGAAAGCCTGCGGCTGGAAAGTCGAGGTAAGCAGCCAGGCCATAACGCCCAGAACACCAGCGGAGGGCAACAGCGCAGAACCACGCGCCATGTTTCTAGGGGCTGACTATCGTAAGATCTAGGGGCCCTAATCCTTCTTCTCCTCCGCTTGCGGCAAGTACCGGCAACGGGAGGAGGTGCTAGTGCAGACTGCAGTGCAGCCACACTGATGTGGGAGGTTGGACTTGCAAAAAACACTGTCAGACCCATGGACAAGTAATGCACCGGACACCCCAAAAGCAAAAACAAAGTATCCTTGCTGTGTTCCCGGCCGAATCACAGTCAGAGCTTGCCAGAAGTTCGCGATCCTGGCCCCGCAATCCCTTTACGTATCTTTGCAACCCAGATCAGCCAAAGCTACTGGTAGCAGCAGCAGCAGCAGCAGCAAGAGTAGTAGTCAAATAGCAATAGTAGTGGTAGGAGTAGTAGTAGTAGTAGTAGTAGTAGTAGTAGTAGTAGTAGTAGTAGTCGTGGTGGTGGTGGTGGTGGCGGTGGTGGTGGTGGTGGTGGTGGTAGTTTGGCGTAGTAGCAGTAGCAGTAGTGATAGTAATAGTAGTAGTCGTAGTAGTAGTAGTAGTAGTAGTAGTAGTAGTAGTAGTTTTTGTCACCCACCTAGTAGTAGTAGTAGTAGTAGTAGTAGTAGTAGTAGTAGTAGTAGTAGTAGTAGTAGTAGTAGTAGTAGTAGTAGTAGTAATAGTTTGTTTCAGTCCTGGTCGTGCGTGAGGGCTTGAAGTTGATGTACGGCTACCCACCTTGCGCCTTCTTCTGACATGATGTAGGCGATATAGTTCGGGTCCTCTTTCCTTCCCCGTCCCCGTCCCTCGTTAGCTCTCGGCATGCACGCTCCACATGGTCCGTGCGGATAGCTCTTGGGTTGCGACAGACAGCCAAGCTGTGTGTTTGGTACTCATCGGCCCGCTATTCGGTTCCGATGTGTGTCGTAACAACTCCTCACAAGCAACCATTCTTATAGCTCACTTCGGAGCAACAAAGTTGGTCGCGATGCTTCGATGTCCTTTCACAAGATAGCCTTGGCAAAGAAAGCAGGACATACAGCAGTTGAACAGGTGGATGAAGATTCGCCTGCAAGGGCAATCAGCTGGTTCGGCTGAAGGTTTTTAAGGGTTGATTTGCAACAGATGTTTCTTGCCATGTCATCCGAACAGTTGTGAAGCCTTGAAAACCTGTGGCCCCTGATCTTTCAAGAAAGGGGCCCCTTTTGCGAGCCACGACGTTGAAGCCATAGGCTACGTCTTCTGTCCGTGCGACAGTAAAACATTGCAGCGCGCCGTGCACTTGCTGTGTTGCGAGAGCCCGATCACCTTCCTGCGCTACTTCTGCTGCATAGTAGAGTAGTAGAAGTAGCAGTAGTAGTAGTAGTAGCAGCAGCAGCAGCAGCGGCAGCAGCAGCAGCAGCACGTGTATTAGTAACGATGCTTCAACTAATCCTGATACCAGTACTAGTCGTACAAGTAGACAAGTAGTACTGGTAGTGCTCGTAGTTTTTGTAAAACCCGCAGTGCTATAAGAAGTCGTACTAGTAGTAGTAGCAGCAGTACAGTAGTCGTCGTAGAAATGGCAGCAGAAGCTGTAGCAGCAGCACCTCTACGAACATGTGCATGAAGCCGGAAATGTCGGAGCACGAACTCCGCAGCGGAAAGTGAGCCAAACATAGCCCATGCAAACACGAAAGTGAAACCGGCGAATTAAATACGTTAGTGTGGATTCGAAGTTAGCGGCATGCTTTGTGGCTGTTGCAGACAGCCTGTGTGTGAAAGGAAGAAATCACGGGAACGGGCTAAGGTGACAACTACGCAATCTACGCACTTGCGCTCCTCGGCTCAGCTACCATGTCACATGAACATTTTTCCTAGAACATGACATGCAAGTGCAACATTTCTACAGCTATGCAGGCACAGGCTATCATGAATCACAACTCACGAATAATGCAACTCGGCATCCCAATAATGAGGCACGTCGAAAAGGTATGTTTCTGAAGGCTAGTGTTCAGGGACTGACGGAGTCTAACAGCCTGAATCCGAAGGGAGCGAGCATTTTATTTGCGTCTCCTCGTTTGGTGTTTCCACTGCACAGAGCAGACTGAGCAGGAATTGTGGAATAACGGTTCGGGCAAGTGGCTGCCGGCATGCCCGCTGCACCTTGTCGCAAGGCTTTCAGCCCCATGGGTCCTGACTCCGTGCAGTTTGCTGCGCTGAACAAGCAGGCAATCCAGATCTCAACATCGATCTTGAGTCTACCGTCCTCTTCCTGAGCTGAGCTGCTGCAGGTGGAATGCCACTCTTCCGACTAACCCATGAGTGTTGATGTTGCTGACACTGCGGCAGCAAGCCGGAACGGGACTTCTTCAACCCTGTCTAAGCGACAGTGTTATGTCAGTTGGGGGTGAAATTGCAGCCGAGACGTGCATGGAGCGACTATTCAGCTGCGAGCCGACAGCTCACCTGCACCTTGTCTGCGTTGTGCGCTGTCGAAGCGTTAACTCACCATGCTGGTAACATCTGCAGGTGTCGCGAGACCTGCCAGGATCATCCGCCCACATGCTTGGAAATGCTTTGCTGCATCGCCGTTCAAGAGGCTGAGCTTTCCAATACGAACACAGGACAAGCCCCCTCGCAGCCTGAGCCCCCCCTTCCTCACTCCAGCTGATCCTCCACGTAAAGTTTGGCAGGCCTCAGGCCGTCGGGTTTCGCAACACATGGACGGAAATGCCAATAAACTCTACATTGGGTTGGAACAAAAGCCCATAAACGTGACCTGGAGTTTGGTGAGCAGAAACAAAAACCGAAAAGCGACAGAGGTTAGCAGGACAGTCATGGCCGCAGAGTTCGCGCGGCATCCCATCCTGCGGCCCAGCCACCCTCGACTCCACCACGCCCCTCCTCCCCCCTCCCTCCCATCCCGACTTCACAACAGTGTTGAACCTTCAGAACTCGACGCAAATCTTAAATCCTTTTTGCGCTCAAGCCGAGATCGTCTATACCTCAATGCGAGATTGCGGCAGCATGACATATGACGTCTTCCAGGCCAGTGCACGTTTGCACAGGCAGACGAAATCTCGCCGTACCCGAAAGTTCCGTTTCGAAGTGACTGCTGAGCCCCCTCAACGGACTCGCCTGCAGCGCCGCCGGCAGCGCTGGCGCACATGCTTCTTGATGCGGTCAGACATGTCCCAAGCCTGCACGCCACCCAAGCTGAAATGGTCGGCGTCGAAGAGATGGTACGCCGATCGCTTGGAGAGCTGGTAGTCCCAAGATGCAGAGAGGCCTCTGGCCAAATGCACAAAAACACGAGCCCGAAGGGCCTTATGAGGCCCCAGTGGGGCAACGAACTCGAGCTCCAGCGTGTCAAGGCGATAAAACGGATAGGACAGTGATTGCGCGAGGCTGCGGGGCACAGAGGTGAGGCTCTCAGCGGTGAGGAGCTCAAGGGATGCAAAGTCCAAACAACGTGGGTCGATGGCCAGCAAGCCCCGGACATCCAGGCCACAAGTGCAAAGTTGAAGAGCAACGCTGCGTGCCACGGTGACGCCGAAGCTGTGGCCACAAAGGATCAGTTCAGGTGCTGGCCCTGCTCAGGATGCGCCGAGCGAGCTGCCCAGTTCAGGCCGCGAGGAGTGGTTTGCAGGGCAATCCGTTCTGCAGCGACTCTTCCACCGAAGCGAACATCTCAAAGCACCCAAGATGGAACTGGCCCAAGCCGAAGTAGGATGAGGCCGGGCCCCCAGCCAGGCGGGCACCGCCTCCGAAGAGCACCATCGAGGTCATTCACGAGTCATGGAACCTTTGGCGGGACATGGTGAAGCCTCCCAACCGCTAACCGAGAGCCTCTGGCGGGGCGCGCTTGCAGTGCTTGGGACCTTGAGAAAGCCATACATGGCTCACAAAGCCCACCGGGATATGTAGTCGTGGACCGCCTAGGCTGCCGCGGCTTGGTGCATCGGATTTCTTGCGCTGAGGTTGGAAGAGACGTGGGGAGGATTCTGGCGAGCTGTAGCAGGAAATCAGGCCGGTAAGATGTTCTTTTACCGGTGCCGATGCAAGCATGATGTGCAGGTGGCCAGCAAGCCATGCGGAAGCAGCAAGTGAAGCCCTTGCTGAGCAGGCTGAACACAAGCTCGGCCACTGCTTTTGCTTTTGCAGCCGGTCGCGAAAAATCCAGAAATTGATAGCAGTTTTGGGGAGCGTGATGCTCAAGCACAAGCGCACTCACGCCAAAGCCCGGCTGGAGAGTTTCACTGGAGGAGACGAGGAGGCTCACAGCGACACTTAAGAAGAAGGGATGGTTGGGGGCATGACGGCTAAGCGAAGCTGAAGGAGCTTTCCGCTAGATCTGACTGCACACAGGCCAGGAGGATCCAGGAGGTCTAGCTCCGATGGGGTCTTGAGGACCGCACAGGACATCCTAGGGCGAGGGTCGCCTCCTTGAAGTTGATAGTTGTAGGGCCAGGGCTGTAGCTGTATCATCCTTCGAATTTGTCCTCTCGTCTACAGTAAGAGCTTCTAGAAGACCTTGCGTAGGCTCAGCGGCTCAGCCCTGATACGCCGGCCTTGACTTCTACAGTCCGAAGCCTTCAGAAACCCAACATGATACGCAAGTGACCCGACTTGGACTTTCATGCTGCAGCATCCAACTCCGCGCGAAAGCTCAGATGGTGAAGCGTCGGCAAAAAATACGGCATCGCAAGCAGTACTTGGCCTATCGACAGTCCCGAACTCACCGGAATCTGAGAATGTGTGGGCTTGCCGCCCTCCACATCGCCCGCGACTGCGACTTGTAAAGACACCTCGCGAACGCGTCGCCAACGCCTGAAAGCACCGAGAATCCCTCCAGTACGGCCCCTCGAGCCGGCAGTTGCATTGCTGCGGGATGCCCAGCACTATTGGGAATCTGTGATCGCCAGAAAACTGTGCACAGTTAAGCCTTAGCAGGTCGCCTCAGCATCGGTTGCAGACCAATTGCAGCTGACGGGTAGCCTTTTGAACTTGCAGCCTGCATGGAGACCCTGCTAGGGGCCGGACACCCGGAGGCTCTGAACTTGGCTTTGCAGGTCGGGCACCCCCTGCTTCAAGAGGCAAGCGGAACCGGGCCACGTGAAAGTCCCGGAGGGAGGAGACCAGGAAACTGCCAAGGGCTCAGAAGTAAAGAGCAGAAGACTTTCGACGTAGAGCCTCAGGCAAAGTTTGGTTTAGGGTTGTCGTCTGGCCAGCGCGACCCAACGGAAGCAGACTTTTGCGAATGGCAGACGACACCGATTGCTAGAGGGTTTTGGACCACTCAGTTTTAGAAGCCTAGTAATACTTGCAGCGAAACATCCCTCAGCCCAAACATCAATTTCGATGACGGCAACTGACGCGCCGCTTTTGAAGTTGAAACCTGCACGCAAGCCCTACTGGACCCGAAATGCCTTGCCGCTCTGAACTAGTTGTCGCCTGCGCCCGGGCCACGTGAAAGTCACGAAGGGATGACTTGGAGACTCCCAAAGGCTCGGAAGCAAACAGCAAGAGACCTGCGAAACAGAGTCAACTGACCACGCCCCAACGAAGCAGACTTTGGCACATGGCAAAAGCCAGTGGCAGCATAGAACTCCGGGATATTTAGTCGTGGACCGAGGCTGCCGCGGCTTGGTGCATCGGATTTCTTGCGCTGAGGTTGGAAGAGACGTGGGAAGGATTCTGGCGAGCTGTAGCAGGAAATCAGGCCGGTAAGATGTTCTTTTACCGGTGCCGATGCAAGCATGATGTGCAGGTGGCCAGCAAGCCATGCGGAAGCAGCAAGTGAAGCCCTTGCTGAGCAGGCTGAACACAAGCTCGGCCACTGCTTTTGCTTTTGCAGCCGGTCGCGAAAAATCCAGAAATTGATAGCAGTTTTGGGGAGCGTGATGCTCAAGCACAAGCGCACTCACGCCAAAGCCCGGCTGGAGAGTTTCACTGGAGGAGACGAGGAGGCTCACAGCGACACTTAAGAAGAAGGGATGGTTGGGGGCATGACGGCTAAGCGAAGCTGAAGGAGCTTTCCGCTAGATCTGACTGCACACAGGCCAGGAGGATCCAGGAGGTCTAGCTCCGATGGGGTCTTGAGGACCGCACAGGACATCCTAGGGCGAGGGTCGCCTCCTTGAAGTTGATAGTTGTAGGGCCAGGGCTGTAGCTGTATCATCCTTCGAATTTGTCCTCTCGTCTACAGTAAGAGCTTCTAGAAGACCTTGCGTAGGCTCAGCGGCTCAGCCCTGATACGCCGGCCTTGACTTCTACAGTCCGAAGCCTTCAGAAACCCAACATGATACGCAAGTGACCCGACTTGGACTTTCATGCTGCAGCATCCAACTCCGCGCGAAAGCTCAGATGGTGAAGCGTCGGCACCAGCATGGGCGTCCAGTGCAAGCATTACTTGGCCTACCAATGGTCCAGAACTCATCCTAATCTGAGACTGCGCATGCTTGTGTCGCTCCAACTCGCCCGCAAATGCGACTTGTCAAGGCATCTCGTGAACGCTGAATGCATCGAGAACACCTCCAGTGTGGCCACTCGAGCCAACAGTTGCATTGCTGCAAGATGCCCGGCACTAATGCGAATCTGTGATTGCTGGAACACTCCGCACGGTTAACCTGTAACAGGTAGCCTTAGAAGCTGCAGAGAGACGAGCCAAACACCAATTGCAGCTGACGGGTGGCCTTGTCAACTTGCAGCCTGCGTGGAGAGCCTGCTTGGAACCGAACACCCGGAAGCTCTGAACTCCTCTTCCTGGTTTAGCCTGTAGCGTAAACGTCCCCCAAGGAGGAGACTCCTAAGGGTTCCGTGGTGCAAAACAAAAGACCTTGGAACCATCGACGGAGATGCAACATCTGTTGTAGTCCAACCCCGCCACAAAAAGAGCAACCGCCTTTGCAATTGCAAGCAGCACAGGGCCGTTGAAGGGTCCTGCAATACTTCCGTATGGGCAGAGCTGGGTGTGGCAGCGTCAGGTTCACCCTGGACCCCTCGCCTTCGCAGAACGGCGCTGAAGTAGGCATGTGGAGACCAAAGCAGCATCTAGGGTTTACAGGTCATCTCGGCCACCGTTGTCGTGAACCTCATGCTCCGGAATCCGCGAGCTGCGTCCGGCAAAAGACTCTCGGGATCTTAACCTTCAAGCGCGTCATGGCAGGCACATCAGGCAAGTCGACTCGAGTTACTGTGCTGTGTGCAAACCGGTCCATGCAAAACACCAGTTTTCTGCAATTGCCAAACCTTTCGGCAACCCTTCGAGACAAGAGGTCTACAGGACGGCTGACCCAAATCCATCTAGTTTTTTATTTCAAATGATGGAAGAAGGCCTCACCTGTCTTGTAATCCGAGCGTTTTGGGCCATAGGTATGGGAGTTTGACATCTTTATTCAACTCTCGGCATCCTAGCCTTCAAGCGCGATATGGCACGCAAGCCAGGCAAGTCGAGCAAAATGGAAGTTTTCTGCAGTTGCCAAACTTTGCGACCACCCTTCGAGACGAGGCTGTGGTGGCTTTTCTTTGTGATGTGCTCAGCTGCAAGTTTCTGAAAGGTCTACAGAACAGCAGACCGCAATCCATCTAGGTTTTTATTTACAATCATTGATGAAAGCCTCAGCTGTCTCATAATCCAGGCTATCCAGGCCATAGGTATCGGAGTTTGACGTCTGTATTCATCCATCACGGCCCTCCTGCTGCAGAACAATGCGCGTTGTAGCATTGCCGAAACCTACGTTTGCATCACTTGAATACATCATTTCGGAGGTTTTGCAAACGTCGGTTTATGCACGGTCACGCAGCCAGCCCCAGCCAGGCTGCGTCTGAAATCTCACACCTTCTGCTTGGGCTGCCTAGCAGACTGTGTTCGTCTGCGAGCGTGTAGCTTGCGAGTAGGAAAACGATCTGCGCGAATCGTGCCGTTCATGAGACTCCTAACCCGACATCTGCCCAAGTTCTGTGTCGGGCTGGGGCAACTGGCAACCCATAGGGATTTGGCCGTCTGCGTTCAGAGTGTAAGGATCCCGCTCTGCATTTCTTCGCCCGTGCCGGTGCCTCCCGTCTCTGCAAACAAGGGCAACCAGCCAGCAAACTCGGTCTGGTGCTCCACTTGCAAGAATACCGAGCTCGAGCCAGTCCGTATGTAGGCAAAGATTCAGGCTTGTAACAGTGCTTTTGACAAAACCATGTCCTTCTGTTGCCATCCTTTCATGGTGCTGGGCTGGAACTTGCATTTGAAGGCAAATGCAGAAGAAGGCAGAGCTTCACATTTAGTGCCCAAGAAGCCAAGCGAAAATGCAGAACAAGGCACAACGAGAATAAGACTTGGCCTGCAAGAGCCGAAAGTGGGATCTTTGGTTCTGGTGCGGTCTGCTAGTCCCACACAGCCGAGTCAAAAGGTCTATGTACGCACTTGCAACACTTAATACATGCCAAGTCCTCATCCTTAGCCGCTGAAAGTGTTGCGGGGCAAGCGTCCCTCTCTGCCCTCACGGCCTGCACCTGAATGGTACCTGCTTCAGGTCGTGCTGCGGCTGCCTTGAAGTGAAACGAGCCACGACGCTGGACCCTGGCAGAAGAGGGCAGGTGTTGGACAGCTTGCTTGGAGAAGCTTCCGGGATGTAGGCAGTTAATGTAAGACTTACACTTCTGAGAGAGTCTGGTCGGTGTCGGATTAAGCTGTGATTCTGCCTGGCTGACAGCACGCAGGCATGCGATTGACGGGTGCAGGTTTGGCTCTTTTAGGCACCCGGCCACTGTGGCTTCGGAGCCAATTAACGCATGACAGCCCGAACTCTTGTGGTGAAAGTTTCAGTCCTAGAAGAAGAAGGATCACAGTTGTCAAGTGGCCTGTAAGAATCGAATGTTGATGGGTCCGGGTTCACTGTGGGCAGGCTGTGGGAGGCTCGTCAGCTCTGGACTTCCCCTGAGCAAAGCACGCGCATTATCGCGGCGGGTTTCCCTTTACTCTTGGTTCAGAGCCGGAGCTGTGCCTTTCTGCTGAGCTATGACAGGCTGACAGGTTGCAGACGAGCATGGCTGAAAAATCGAAAGTCTCCAGTTTTCCTTCCAACGGAGGATGCATCTGCTCGGCGAAGCGCTGACATCTTCCTCGAGGGGTCTCCACTTCACGTCGTCATGGCATCGCAGCAGGCGACCATGGCCCTGGACCGAGCAGCACAGCAAACAAGCGCAGCTGCCCCGGCGGCGCATGCTTGTTTCACAGCTGCCTACCTCGGCAGTTGCCACATGCCCGCTGTGCAAACGTGCCCCTTCGGAAAGAGAACGGAGGTACAGATCATGCGGGATTGTGCTTCAACCTTCCCAACGCAAACCCTGATATCCATGTTTACGCAGTTGGCGCTGCACCTCTAGGCATGGTACAACATCGCGGGCCGTTCAGGAAGAACGGCATGTGCACGAGACGAAGACGAGTGACAGCCGCGTGTCGGATCCATCTGCCTGACTGACTTTATGTGGTCTGATGGGCTGGGAAGAGCGACGGGCTGTAGGAATCTCCGGGAACGTGCCAATACTGTGCCGTTTTAGTTATTAAATAGCGTGACAAGAGCACGCCTGATGCAGCTCTGTGGCACGATGCTCGAAGCCGGCCAAGAAGAAAGCCTCCCAAGAAAGAATTCTTGATCTTGAGGCATACTCCGAGTCGGCAAACGGTTCAGGCATGTAGTACACGCCAGTCATGTCATGGCGAGCAGAGACTAGTTCTGCTGGGGATTGCAGGTGGAACTCATGCATGCGTGCTTGACCGCTTGGCACGAAGGCTGCGTCTGCAGCTTTGCCGGTAGTGGCTGCACCTGCAGGACCTCATCTTTGAGAAGGAGCAGGCGCAAGTTGTGACAGCTGCCGCAGAAAGGATTCTTGAGGCATAATCCGTGTCACAGCAGTGGAATGTCGCAAACGGGGCCCCTGACATGGGGGCGTGTGGCCGCTTGCTTCTCAAGAGCTGCTGCTGAACCCATGAGCATGGAGACTACTCTCGCTCCAGGTCTGCAGCTGCTGCTCGCAGCTTTGTCTTGGTTCCGGAGATTACAATGAGCACTTGCGTGTGGCACGGCAAGCAAAGATGCACAAACGCAGAGTGCACGCACCTGACCGCAACTGTGGCATTTTGCGCGCCGTCACCTCGATTGCGCACAATAGCGCGTATCTGCAACTCCTGCGCAGTGTTCGGTGCAGACAGGGTTCCAAGAGCAAGTCAAGACCTCATCACCCAAATTATACTGAGATTCCGCAATCGATAAGGACTGCGAAAACGCACAATGTGCCACACTTGACATCACATGATCCTTTTGAGCATTCCTTACGCCCTCCATTACAGCGCCCCCATTAGCGACTCTCCGATGAAAGGCAAGCTGGTTCGGGCGTGCGACGGTACGCACCGGTCCTGTTTTCTTCTCTCTCTGAACGGGATTGTATGCAGCTCGAACCATGCAAAGCATCGACGTGGTGCAATCAAGAGGTCACGGCATCGTGCTATGCCTGCACGAAGGCTGCCGGCAGTATTCTGCAGCTGAGCACCCATTCTTAGGAAGGAGCAGGCGCAAGCTGTAGAAGCTGCCAAAGAAAGGATTCTGGAGGCATAATCCGTGTCACAAGCAAGCTGGTTCAGGCGTGCGACGATACGCACCGGTCCTGTTTTCTTCTCTATCTCTGATCGGGAGTGTATGCAGCTCGAACCATGCAAAGCATCGACGTGGTGAAATCAGAGGTCACGGCATGTGTGCTATGCCTGCACGGAGGCTGCCGGCACTTTTCTGCAGCTGTGAAAAAGGAGCATGCGCAAGTGTAGAAGCTCATGTGGCGCAGTCCATGTCACAGGCAGGCGGGTTCGGGCATGCTACAGAACGCGTCGTGCTCGACGTCTTGCAAAGGTCGTGGCATAGAGGACACGGAGGTGCCGGTGCCTGCACTGCTCGATGCAGCTCGCTGATCTGCTCATGGGCATCAGGGCGACACGAAAAGCCGAAAAAAGGGCCACCGACATGGTGCTAACTGAACATCTGCTTGCGAGTTTGGTTCAGGTTGCATTCTGTGGGAGAATTTCGAATCTCCAACAGCCATCCGTGCTGCTGGCAGTGAGGCGCTTCCTGCACGCGATCATTTCATCAGCAGTCTCTCTCAGCTTGGGGATTGTAGCCAAACCCGTGCGAAGAATTTACATGGTGCTACGGAGCCTGGCCGCATGAGAAAGTGCAAGCCTGGCGCACTTCTATTGCACGATGCACAAACCCCTCACGGACTTTCATGCGATGCATTCTTAATGCACACCTGCAGGACCTCGCTTCACCGAAAACATGGCGCATTTCATGGCATCATGCAGTGTCGGACAGCCCTGCTCCGATGACTTGGTGGGGGGCACCCAGAACGCCAGAAGCAAAGGGAACCACAAGGAAACAGTCGAAGTTCAAGCTCGGGCAGCAGCTCGGGCAGCTGCAGCAGCTCGGCACTGGCAGATTCGAAACGCTAGCAGCTAGCAGGCATGCCTGGGTCTGGCGAACAGGATCGCTGACAAGCAGATCTGTGCAGCTACCAATCAGATCAGCTGGGGGTTGAAACCCTGAACCCAAAATCGCCAAAACTCTCCACAATCGCATCTCCGGCAGGGCCGGACACGATTCGCAGCTTCGGCCAATCCGATTCGCGGAGCTGATTGCCAACCTCGTTTCGAGCCGTCTCGAAGCTGATACCTGCAGCTACCAGCACACGCCTGACACGAGGTCGCCCAGTTGTCACGACCAGCTGGAGCTGGCTACAAGACAAGACAATAGATCTCGCATCGCAGAGAGGAGGGGCCGGCCGGCCATGAGCCGGGGGCGCTTTATCGAGCTCTGTCGAACTGTGATGCCACAGCCACACAGGAGCCTTCGCAGCGGCCATGAAGCCAGAGAGGCTGCTTCAGGAGGGCTCACATTACAGAGGCTTTTTTGGAAGGTTTCTCCATGGGGAGATCACTGCGGCCGTGGAGTGATGCCCTTCGTGCACAGTCGCATTGGTTGCAGTACCAAGTGCATTGAAAGGATGGCGGCAAC